CTTTTTAATATGGATTTCTAGATGACGTCACAGACCAACGAGAAACAAGTTTTCTAACAGACATTCTTGTAAACAGAACTATCTTGTTGGAAGACCAAGTGATAAATTGTCCAATTTCAATGAATTTGGTTTCATTTTGATGCTTTTGAAACAGAGATTTTCAAAATAATAATTCAAAAATTGTAAAATTCCTCATTGTGACCCATTTTGCCAGCATGGATCACAAATGTTAATGAACAATAACCAATTTAGAACAAATATCTTTTTTTTTTATGTCAGGCCAAAATACAAAAGATGTTTTCTAACTGAATGGTACCAAAATTGAAGGTTGGTATAATACTGAATCAAACATACAGATAAAAACAACTTACTATAACTTCATTACTTGGACCAAGAATCTCCTGCCATTTCTTCATTAGCTCTTCTTCTTCAAACGGAGATAACTTCAATTCTTTAAAAACAAAAGCATTCATTCAAAAATCAGCATAACATGGTATTTTCACSATATTCAACACATATCAACATTTTTAAATCCTTCCTGCACTCATTTATATAACTTTGCTAAACGGTTACAAACTAACAGATGTGCCTCACGTTGTTTTTTACATCAGTGTGGTCCTAAAAATAGTTTTATCTGTCAAATATTTAACACTAACTCTGTTGGAGAACAGAGAGAGGAATCCAAGCTTCTTACCGTGTTTGTCTTCTGGCAGCTGATCTACTGCCGGGCCAACATCAGATCTTTCATTCGTAGTTAAATTATGCTTCTCGACTGAGGCAACTGCAAACACACATTGAACAGTGAAAGGGTGAGACGGGCACACAGGAAGTACATATCCCACAGCCAAAAAACACAGTAAAGCTGGTAACTGACTCAAAATATAAACAGGAAATGATGATCATAACGTGACTGCCTTTACATAAAGTATTTTCCAGGCACAATCCAGTAACTATGTTACCATCAGGTGTTATGAAAAATGCTGTGTGTATACATATATATATATTTTTTTCAACACCTCATTTCTTAGAGTGAAAAGTACTTTTACTTGTATGATTATTGTGAACAGTTTTCTGGCTTTTACTTAAGTACTTTTCTTATCAGTGAAATAATTTTTTTACGAAGTCCTTTTCTGTTAAGGTAGTTTTATAT